ATACTGGAAAAATTTTAGCCTTTATAATGCTTGCTGTTAATTTTTACATTCAATTATATTAATAACTAAGTGACAAAATAATTGATACATCATATTTAATGATATCAAACCTAATCCTTCAGCCCAGATGAGACATAATGTAATACAGCAGTTAAAAGCATAAACCAGAGTACAAATCCTTTTCAGTTCTCTCAACCAAGTGTTTCTGATATAGAGAGGACATTTTGGCAGTCATGTTCATTAATAAAGTGAGTGTTATTAATACCTATGGTGGGTATGTATTCAGTGGCTTTTGGCAAAATTATACCTCTAAATAAAGGTGAAATTCAATAAGAATGATAAGATTAGGGATCTGCATCCATAAGGTATTCCTCCGTAAAGCACCCCCACCGGCCTCATTTACCTGCCACGGGTTCTATCCTGCAGTGGGAGTTCACACTTTGTCGAGAGAATGAACGTTTGGATGGTGCCTCCAGTAGTGGCATTACTCTCATCTGACTGCTCCTTTTATCTCTGGATCTCCCAAGAGGCTGCTGCTGCTGCTAAAGTCACTTCAGTCGTGTCCGACTCTGTGCGACCCCACAGACGGCAGCCCATCAGGCCCCTCCGTCCATGGGATTTTCCAGGCAAGAGTACTGGAGTGGGGTGCCATTGCCTTCTCCACCCAAGAGGCTAGTTGCCACAAACGGGTTACTCCAGGAGATCCTATGGAAGGTGCTTAAGTACTAGGAGGGCACTCTGGACTTGGCGCAGTAACTAACTATTCAACCACCATGGATATGCATTAGTGTTTTAACAACTGGTACAGCTGAACCAATGTGTACTAGCTGAACATCAGGTCTGAACGCGGTACTCTATACATACTCTTTAGAAGTGGTACTATTTCTGTGTCTGTCTGATTAACTGAGGTATGCTATAATGTACATTAAAATCAACTCTATGATAAGTTTTCTCTTTTCTCCTTGAAGTTATCAATTTTGGATGTATGTAAGTTAAAAAACTCAATTTCAGAATTTTTTTATTTTTCAGGTGAATTGATCTGAATATAAAGTAACCTATCTCTAGTAATTTTTTTTTGCCTTAAAGCCTATTTTGTTGATATTAAATATAACTCAGCAGCTTTCTTTTGCTTAGGTGTTTGACATATCCTCTTTATCTTATGTACAAGAAGTACATTTAGTATTTCCATATTATAATTAGTAACATTTGTATTTATTTTCAGTGATTCTTTGTGCTTTATTATACCTTTTCTACTTTTCTTCCCTTTCCCTTTCTTGTCTTCTGGAATGTTTTTCCTCATTCCAAATTTTTTTCTTCTTCTAGTCCTGAAATAATACACTTATTTGTCTTTTGGTGGTTACCCTGTAAATTTTAATATGTACACATTAAAGCCTAAAGTTAATATATCACGATTCTCCCTCAAAAAAATAAAGAACTTCGAATATCCCTTTATAATTTATATGCTATTGTTGTCTTCTATTTTAGCTACATCTTTGTTAATCCCAAAGACAAAATCAGATTGTTTTACATACAAATTTCCCACTTTCTCTGATCATTCCTTCTAATATCTCAAGACCCTAAGCTGAAAACACTTTCTTCTCTCTGAACTTAGACTTCCATTACTGAAGGTCTGGTGGCAAACTTACTGAGCTTTGATTGGATGCTTATGTATTTATATCATCTTTGTTCTTGACAAGAACAAAGAACTCATATTTGCTGGGTATAGACATTCAGGGTTGGCAGTTTTTCTCGGCATACTGAAATGTAATCACAACTATCCTCTAATTTACACTATTATTGATGCCTGATTGGCTTTCACTTGCATAGTTACTCCTTTGAAGGTCTTTTTCCCTCTGGCTTTTATTATTTTATACCTGTTGTCCTACAGTTTCCTATATGGCAAGGGAGAATTCCTGCTAGGGGTGTGTCCGGTTTCTTAAATCATTTGATACCTTTCTTCAACTCTGGAAAGTTCTCAGCTATTGCGGCTCCAAGTTTGTTTTATCCTATTACTGCATTTTCGTTGGGAACTGACCAGATACACAGTATACATTTTTCTCTCTGTGCTTTGTGTCACCAAGCCTCCTTCGTATTTTCAGTCTCTTTGCCTCTCTTGTCTGCAATCTGGATAAGTTCTTTACTTCTATTTTCCAATACACTAATTCTCTCTACATCACTGCCTAATGTATTCTTAGAGGATAGCGTAAGAAAGTCCATTATTATTGCAAATATTATCAAAATTCCTTTTTCAAAATGCCATTTTAGGAGGTGACACACTTATCTGGACAACGCTGCTATTGCTTAAAACATTTTACAGTTCTTTATAGATTACCTTCTGGTCCATGTATCATTCATTTTTCTTTCTTAGTGCCAAATTTCTAGTCTGGTCTCTATAAAATTCTTAATTTTAATTCTTATCTTCTGTATCACCTCTTCTTTTTGCACTGAGAAGTCCTTGACAGTGGCTATAGTATCCAGTAAGCTGATTTAACTTATATATAACTGAAGGATATGAGAAATCATCTCATTTAACAAGATATGTCAATTTATATAAAACCATTTTAAGTCCTCTAAATATTGGGGCATATTAGATATAGTCAGAAGACTAAAAAATTACAACACCGAACTATTTTCACCTATTACCTTGACAGAAATGAAAAAGAATGGCAATGTGCAACACTGGCAAAGGTACAGGAAGACAAGCACTTTCATTGGGACTGATAAGAATAAGGATTGGTACAGTCTTCACAAAGGGCAGTTTAATAACAGGAATCCAAAATCTTCATAACCTTTTACTCATTCTAAGGACTTACCATAAGAACATAAATTTAAAATATCAGTTTAAAGGTTTTATTTTAACCAATGAAAAAATTTAAACAATGCTGTAGAAATATATTCAGTAACATAGATAATTTATAATGTATGAAATAAAGCAGGCTGCAAAACAGTAGGTTCTATTTTTATGTTAAAAAAAAAATACAAAGGGAGCTCCATGGTGGTCCAATGGTTAGGACTCAGCACTCTCACTGCCATGGCCCATGTTCAGTCTCTGGTCAGGGAACTAAGACCCAAAAGCTGCACATGGTGCACTCAAGAAAAAAAATTTTTTTAACAAATAAAAAAGATATATACAAAGAAAAAGATTCCTTAGATATCCATTTACTCTCTGGGATCATGAAGGATATTTAGCTTATTTTAGTTTCATTTACTGCCTAGGTTTTCTACAGTAAGTAATTAGTAATTGTATAGTTACACGTTATTGCATGAAATATCAGAGTACCTAAATAAAGTACCACCTTTTACAAAAGTGTTACTGTAGGAAAACATAGCCCATATTAAAACAAGAACTATCAGTAATATACTCCTCATTCTTATAGTACTGGTAATGAGAATTCCTTTGTCATAATTCATTCTATCCCTCTCACCCTCTACCTAAAATTCCACCTTCAAAGAGTAGAAACAACTACTTCTGAAGGCCTGATAGAACAGGTAGGAGGCTGGAAGGAAAGGAGCTGGGATATGCTGAAGAGAGGAACAGAAGGGTTATGAAGAACGAACTGCTGGTATTTGGGGAGAAACTTTAGGAATAGCACTAGGTTGGAGGAAGGAGTGAGGAGAGGAGGTTCCACAGATAAACTTCAGCAGAATAGTTAGTTTCTCCTCTCACCAATCTTCCCTGTATTCAGGTGTACAGTCACTGCTTCAAGTCAACTACTATATTAAGAAACAGCATTTGCAAGTGAAATGGAATAGGGTGTACCTGCTCAGTGACCCCAGATTCTGATACTTTGCTCCTTCGTCAGCATATTTTATGTCTTTCTTCAGCACAATTTTTTCCTTTGTTAACCTATGGTCTTTCAGTTTCTCTAACATATCATCTAACATAACATAGGTTGTTTGACATACCAGTTCCTTCATCTGAAATATTTCTATCCCCTCCCCAACACTGTCTTGACTAATTTATCTCCTACTCATCTTTCCATCTTGGTTAAGTGTCACTTTCTCAGGGAAACCCTGAACACCCTAGTCCACAACAGGTTATTTCCAGCCTTTATCTCAACCTGTAAATATGTATCATGAAATTATCTAGTATGTTTATTAATTTCTAGTTGAACCAATAGGTCCCAAGACTAATGAACGCAATGCCATTTGTTGTTTTGCTCACCACTGCCACCTCTGCCTCTAGAGCACAGCAAGTGCTCAACAAATAAATGCTCAATGAGGGACTGAGTGAATGAATAACTAAGCAAATGACTAGGAACCCAGAGGCCCTGATTTGGTAAGAGTTGTATTATTTACGTCCCCTCATGGTGGAACCCTGTGTAAAGTTTTTCCCTTGACTGCTGCTGAACTTGTTCCTGTACTCAAAAAACAAAGTTTAAAAAACAGGTATCACCTTGAAAATTCTCCATAGCTCAAAGTAAACCGAGGCCAAACGTGGTATTTCAATTATCCAAGAAAAAGGCTAGATACCGTTAACAGAATATGTAGTCTAGCCTGGGAACTTCACAGATGCCCACATCACAAGATATCTCTCTACTGGAGGAAAGGAACGGAGGAACCCACACTTGTCCCCTTAGCGCAGGTCGGGCACAGGGAACGGGGATTCTGCAGGCTCAATACCCTTGACAAAGCTTAGGTGGGAAAAACACGCCTAGGGTGTCAGGGGGGTTGGGGCATTTATTCAAAGTGAACTTATTGAGCATCTACGGTGTACCAGAAAACCTTAGCTCTGGACTGGCTCTGACAAACCTGCCGGGGTTGCTTTAGTCACTTCACAGAGCTCTGGTCCAGAAGAGGAGCAAACCGGCCCGGGTTCGCCTACCTCCAAGCGCCGGACAGGGCCTCCGACAGCGACAGAGCGCTTCACCGAGAGTCAGGGGCACGACAGCTGGCCGCCCCACAGGGACTCGCAAACCCCAGGCCTGGCTGGGCGAGCGGGCCCCGGGCAGCCGCGCCAGGCGGAGGCGGGTCCCCGCCCTCCGAGGGGCCGCGCTTACCCGTCGGGCGAGTACTCGAGGTTGAAGACTGCCCCGTGGGTGCGGGTGCTGAGGTACACCGAATCCGCGGGATGGATGGAACCATAGAGGTTAGTCATGGTGCGGAAATTGTCCCGCGCCGGGTCCACAAACAGCCCACGGCCCAGGCTGCGCGCTCTCAGCCACCCGAAGAGCCGGGCGCCAGGGCCGCCCAGGCGCGCTCTGAGGCAGGGCTGGCCGCGGCTCCCGGCCCTGCGGTCAGGCCCGGGTGGCCGGCGTGGCGGGGAAGGCGGGGAAGAATCTCCTTTAGCGGAAGCGGCTGAGGACTCGAGAGCTCCGAGCGGCCCGAGCTCTCGCGCGCGCCCGCCGGGGGGCTGCGAAGGGGCGCAGGGGCTGCGAGGGCTCCCGCCGGGCGACGGGGGAGGGGCTGCGTCAGCCCCGGGCTGTAGTGGCGAGGGCGGGGAAGGGAGCGGCCTGGCAGTAGCCGCCTCTCTCCCGTAGGGTGCCGGCTCCTCAGCCCTGGCTCCAGCCGCCCTGTCCCCTCCGGGGCTAGGGAGCCCGAGGGGAAACATGACCAACGCCCACGCCCCCGCCCCCGGCTCCCGGCCGCTGCCCAGCCGGCCAACACCTCAGTACTCCCGCTCCAGCCGCCACTTCCGGCGTGCGGCCGCCTAACCTCTCCGGCTGGGAAACCCGCGCCGCCTCTCGGTATCATCCGCCGGGGACCAAGAAAGCGGCGACACCGTTCGACTACGGGTGCCACAGACGGCAGGGTTGGAGGACTAGAGCTGCTGTGTGTGCGCGATAGTGAGGATGCCCAGGGCCTAGGTTGCATGGGGTAGCGCTAGCATCCGGGAACTGCGTGCGCTATTGTCCGTATGTGGTTATCAGTGACCAGACTGTGTCTTTGGGGATGACAGTGTCTGACTGGTGAGTCCAAGAGGCTGAGTATGATTGGGTACTGTGTACATAATCATCTCTACTTTACACTGAGACCAACGAAGGTAAGAAATGACCATCTTATGTGCTGCTCACACAGTAAGCAGCATGGTGTACTGCCTACTCAGCCTGGGAATCTAGGGACTCAGGTTAACTTCTGCACTAAAAAGGCCTGGTTGGCACAGCGCCTGGGGCTTACTGCTGCCCTGGAGCTCTGCCCAGTTACCAGCAACTTTACCTACTAGGTCAAGCCTTTACCAAAGCCCTCGTCTCTGCAAGAAGCATATACCCAGCCAGGAGTCACTGAGAGGAGCCGAAATCGGAATCAATTCAACCTGACAAGCGACAGAGCCTAGGGTCAATCCTGCTTACATCTGCCAAGCAGGGCATAGAGGGCATAAGAGATGCAAAATCCAAAAAAAAAAAAAAAAGAGAGATGCAAAATCCTTCACTAGTGCTGCTGAAGATAAATACATAGAATTCATTTGCAGAAAAAGCTTAACTAGAACTGGGGTGTTTCTTGGGGAGAGGACAGTTTGCAAGGAAGGGAACCTTGAGGTATAAGAAGAGGGAGGTATAAGAAACGACAACCCTTGCAGGCCTTGGGGCTTCCCCTGTGGCTCAGTTGGTAAAGCATCTGCCTGCAATGCAGGAAACCTGGGTTCGATCCCTGGGCTGGGAAGATCCCCTGGAGAAGGAAAAGGCTACCCACTCCAGTATTCTGGCCTGGAGAACTCCATGGACTATATCATTAAGTAATGTCAGGTTTGGGGTTTTTTTCTTACACTTCTACTTAAAATGTTTCACCATTATTTTAAAACCTCTCAGTGAAAAAAATAAAAATCACTAGAGGTTACCAGAGAAGGCACTAAAGACAGAACAAATCTGTGCCTGCTTCTGTTTACCCACTGCCTTTCAGAGCCCTCAAACACCACTGTGTTAACAAGAAGTTTATTTCAAACTGCAGTCTATAGACCAATTTCTATGCGATGCTGTTTTTTTAAAAACTAAAAAATGTTCAACTTCAACCGCTGAAATTCACAGATATCAATTCAATAGAAATGCCTGAAGCATCTTCTGGAATCCTTTGCCCCGAAACTCTTTTCCAATCCCGATGCGCCTTTCCAATCACAACAAAGTAAAAAAAAAAAAAGCAAAAACACATCAATCTCATCAAGGAGGCAGAGAACAAATTTGTTTACTTTCTTCCCTATCTGTTGACTAAATATTTTTTAAAAAATTACTTCCCAACTGGTGTCTTATAATGAAATGTGCTAGAAATGTAAACACTGGCCTTTCTGTTTAGGTTTTTATATTTTAGGAGCAGCAGGTTCACTCCTGATCTCTTTGACATCATTGGTTCTGCCCATCAAATAGAATTCTTTGTTGGGAACAAGATTGACAAAATGAGCAAGGCGGTTGGACATGGCATAAAAAGCTGAAATTGCAGCTATATCCCAGGCATCTTCCTGGTTGAAGCCATGCACCTCGAGCTTTTTGAAATGGTCATCTGTTATGTCATCAGCTTGGGAAAGAGCAAGTGCAAATTCCAGCATTGCCTTTTCCCGGGCAGGGAGGTCAGACTTTCTCCAGTTGATACAGACCTGTAAGAAAACACAGTTAGAGGCAGAATCTCTGTCCATCACAACATAGCCAATAAAACACATGGTCTAACAAAAGAAGCATTAATGAAAAAACCTAAGATTAAAGAGGTGAAGTGAGGCCAAAATAAACTTTACAGACAGGAAGTATCTTGGTCAAGTTCAATATAATGCAAACCTGGAACTCTAGCTCTGCCAGGAAATCTTTGCTCACTCCAACTACAAGCTCAGAGAGTTCACACTTTCCCAAGGTCACACAGCTAGAGAGTGGCAGAGCTAGGATATGAATCCAAGTGTATTTGATTCCAATGAGTATACTGATAATCATGACCCTTGCTAAAGCAAAATACTGGAAACCATTAGCAACCTGGGATTTCCCTGGTGGCTCAGACAGTAAAGAATATGCCTGCAATGCAGGAAACCTGAGTTTCAGTCCCTGGGTCAGGAGAAGAGAATGGCAACCCACTCTAGTTTTCTTGCCTGGAAAATTCCATGAACAGAGGAGTCTGGTGAGCTACAGCCCATGGGATCACAAAGAGTCAGACACAACTGAGTGACTAACACGCACACACACACACACACACACACACACATTAATGATCTAAAAATCAGAAGAACAGCTGAGCAAACCATGGTGTGATAGTACATCCTATGATCATTAGGGAGACTATGTTTGAGACTGGTCCTGGATGAGAAAAGTTCTGGTGAATAAGCAGGTGGCTCTGAGAAGGGCAAAGGTGATGATGTACCTGTGTTGTTTAGCTTTTGGCTAGCAACAGAGGCCTTCGGAACAATTTTCGAGGTCTCTACTCAGGTGGGGTCAGAAAGGAAGGTTGGAGGATAGGAGAAGACTGATGACCCTCCCTCAGGAATAAACGCAGAGAACAGAAACATCTGTTTCTGAAGAAACATCTGGCTCAGAAGATAAGGAATTTCACTGTAGGGATGAGTAGGGTTTTGTAAGCTTGGTGACAAACCCATGTTTACTGTGTCTTTATCCTTGGTTCATTTCTCTGGGAAGAACTGGCATGAGCTCTGACACTCAAAACAGCCTGACTCTGGATGAAACAAGTTAAGAGTAAGCTGCTGGCTGGGGGGTTGAGACCCATTTCACAACCAGTCTTGGTGGGGAAGAGCAGGTGGGGGCAGTTCCAGAATGGGAGACTGACAAGCCCAAACTTGGGACCAGCTGTACGAAGTAAAAGAAATCTTAAATCGCCAGTCCAGGTTCAATGCATGAGGCAGGGTGCTCAGGGCCAGTGTACCGGGATGATCCCAAAGGTTGGGATGGGGAGGGAGGCAGGAGGGGGGTTCAGGATGGGGAACACATGTACACCCATGGCTGATTCATGTCACTGTATGGCAAAACCACTACAATACTGTAAAGTAATCAGCCTCCAATTAAAATAAATAATTAAAAAAAACTGTTTGGGGCCCATTAGGAATAACTAGGGGATAGACTAAACTCACAAGGGCTTCCCTGGTGGCTGAGACAGTAAAGAATCTGCCTGTGATGCAGGAGACAAGGGTTCAATCCCTGGTCGGGAAGATCTCCTGGAGGAGGGCATGGCATCCCATTCCAGTAGTTGTGCCTGGAGAATTCCATGGACTGAGGAGCCTGCTGGGTTACAGTCCACAGTCACAGAGAGTCAGACATGACTGAAGTGACTGGACATGCATGCATAGACTAAATTCATACTGGAAAATGCATACTATACAATGTAGCCGAGAGAGTGTAAGCTTTGAAAGTGGACCCTGCCGCTTTAGTTGTCCACCCCACATTAATTCCAGGTCTGAACCTCAAAGGTAAGAGGGTTATAATAAGGTTCAACTTAGGGAGTTGTGTGCATTTAAGAGAATGTCAGGTCTGGCACAAAGCTAGAGCTTAGCTATCCCCTCGTCCCAAACATCACATGCACACAGAAGCAGGTGGGTGCAGGAAGGGGAAACTGGCATGGGGAGGTAGGCGCTCACCTGGTCAGACAGCACTGGCTTCTTCAAGAAGACCCTGTACTGGGCACTCCACGCTATATGAGTACCTGTTGGCCAGGCTGGTCACCAAAATGATGAGCTCCTTGTCAGCTCTGCTGAGCTGGCCTGGGGAGGGAGAAGACAGGAGAGCTGCCATAAGCCTGGAGAGCAGCTCAGAAGAACCTAAACAGGCTCGGCCATAATTTAGCAAGTTGCCCGCCTACCTGCTCACTTATTCATTCCCGGTCCTGTGCTATGAGATAACCTATTTTATTTTCTTCACAATACTGAACACTTTCTCGAGTCAACTTGTTCTTTTATTTGATCGTTCACTGTTTTCTCCTCCCTGGAATATGCTTGCAAATCTATGTATTTTTCTCATTTGTTCACCACTGTATACCCAGAGGAATGCCTAACAGATGTAATAGTTGCTCAGAAAATATGTGAATGAATTACTAATTCAAGAAGTATTTTCTGAGGCCCATCAGGTACTAGACACTTTTTGAAACATTTTCCAACCTCAAGGGCCATGCTACTTCTAGATAGAGAAGGGCAGAGAAGGGGAGAGTCCACTTTGGTAGCTGGTACCATCTGGGAACTTTAGATAATCTTCACAACAACAGCTCTGCAGAGGAGGTATTAATGCCATTTTACTAGTAAGAAAACCAAGGCACTGAGACACTTAAGTACTCTGTTGAAGCTCACATCGTGATTTATGGTAGAATCAGATTTGAACATGGGACCAGTTTCTTCCCTCTAGGATGGAGAGGCTGAGGCAGTTGTGGAAGATACAGCAGACAGCACTCTGCATGCCGTTGGAAAAGGACCGACGAGTGAGGCCGTGGCAGTTCAGAGGAGGAAGAGCCCCTCATAAGTGAAGGCAGGTGAGATGGACTCTCATGGAAAGTTCAGATTCACAAAGCATGCCCAGGAGATAAGGCAGCCCAGAGGCACAGTCAAGTGTGATCCAAGTTAAAGAGGAGAGAGATCATGAGGCTGGAGTGCTTGGGAGAGTAAAGCAGACTTCACAGTTCACTTTGACTTGAATGGACAGAACATAAAGAGAGGCTGAAGGAAATGAGGCTGGGAGGCAGGCGTCAGGCCATAGAGAGTCATGGTGACGGGCTGCCTCCCATCTCTGCTGCTCACTCTTCCTTTAATAATAAAATCCCTTGGTTTTATCTGGGCATACGGCCACAGAGCCTCCCTTGTAACTAGATGTGATACAGGTCTAGCCAATGGGAAGTAAAAGGAACTGATGGTTGTGGCTTCCATGTCACGACCATAAAGGAAGGGCTATGTGTCCACACATACCCTTCTTTCTTTTTCTGCAGGTAGTAGTGGTAAATCCACATGAGCAGGTAAGCAAGGGCAGTTCCAGATAGCAAACAACACTACACTGCCCCTCAGAAGCTCACATGAGACTATAGGAGAGACAGAGAGAAAAAAAATACCTTGTTTAAATCAGTGTGTCTTTGGTCTGAGCAACAGCAGCCTAACCTGAATCCTAAGCAAGAAATCCATGATTACCAATCTAAAGTCCCTGAACTTTATCCAGGGTGTTGGAGGGAGCCAGAGAGGGTCTTTGCACACAAAGAAAGTCAAGCCAGAGTTATTATCTAACTTATTTCCGTGCTATACCTATAACCATCAAGTAACATTCAGACCTCAGTGTCAGAATCCAGACAATGTCTCTGCCAGCTCCAGTCCTTCTGAGCTTCTCCCTAGCTCCACAGTAATCTGGGACTATGTGGGAATGAACTCTAGCAAGCAGGCACCTGGATCTTATCTAAAGATGACTTAGCACTTCCCCCAGCCCCCACTTACCTGTTTTCTTGTTACAGATGATATTGTAATAAACAAAGAAGGCTTTGAATTCCAGTGGCCAGTGAGACAACACTTTAAATACATTTGGTAAAAATCCTGTCTGCAGGGAAGGAGAGAAACAGGGAAATGTAAAATGACAACTAAGAACAGGATTGGCAAATAGTAACTGGTAGTTCCCATACTGTCTGCTGAATGCCAGATGCAGTCTTAAGAAGACCACAGCCTTGTGTCAAAGCACAACCCACACATTCTTTCACGTTTTAGGGGATTGTAAGGGTTACTTCTAAAGGCATATGTAATTTCTTTTTAGTAAGGTATTTTATAAAATTTAGAGAGTTGTATGTAAACTAAATGATACTTCTTAGAATATAGGCTATTACCCTCCTGCTCACAGAGGGGGTGGTGGTGCTCATTTATTTCTAAGAATTAAATCAGTAACAAGACTTGATATTAGAAGTACTCTGTAAAGTTCTTTCATACATCCAATCTCACTTTTTCTTCTCCACAACTCTCTAAGGTAGGTAAGGCAAGGATCATTATCCCAGTTTACAGATAAGGAAACTAAGGCCCAGAGAGGTTGAGTGACTTGCGCAAGGCCAAAACAAATCTAAAAGCAGGTCTGCGATTTTGACATTGGGTTTTCAGTCTGTTTTCTTTTCTTTTTTAAAAAAGATATTTATTTACTTACTTGGTTGGTTGCTCTGGGTCTTCGTGGCACGTGGAATCTCTGATCTTGGCTGTGGCTCAATGGCTTAGATGCAGCACGCAGGATCTTTAGTTGTGGCACGTGAACTCTTAGTTGTAGCATATGGGATCTAGCTCCCTGTCCAGGGCTGGAACCCAGGCCCCGTGCGCTGGGAGTGCAGTCTCAGCCACTGGACCACCAGGGAAGTCCCTCAGTACATTTGCCAATGGGATGCTATGGCAGACAACTATTGACTGCTACCCAGGAGCCATTTCTTCCCTCTTCCCTTGACAGTGGATGCTGGATGTTGTTCAGATATCAGATTGCCGTGGGCTCCAGGGAAGGTTAAACCCTTCCCCAACCCCACTGGGTGAATCCTGATTGATCTAAACCAATTATAGTGATTCTATTCTACTTGTCAGTGATTGGCCTAGGAATGGGCATGTGACACCATTATGCCCAATGAGAAATGAAGGGAAATCAGCGGGGCGCCTTCTCTTCCCAAAAAGGGTGTGACCTTCACATCCATTCTAGGAGCTGTGCAAGGATGTAATGTTTGCTGCTGTTATACCCAGGGACCAGGAGATCACAAGTCTGAGCACAGAGTTATCATATCAAGGAAGCCAGAACTAAAAAAGGCAAAGGACTTGATCCGTGATATCGCTGAGCCACTGGATTAACAATGCAGGAATCACCCTGTGTCTGGAGCTACTGGTGTACAAGACACTGAACTGTCCTTGCTGTTGTATCAGCTGAACTGGGCCTTTTGTTACCTGTAGCTGAAAGCACTCTAACTGATAATAAATGTTAAAGTTCATTACTGATCTAGAAGACATGGTAAAAAGAACCATTTATGTCTGTCGGGGCAGGAGCTGGGGAAGAGGTGATGATGTGAGAAGGTATAGACAGGTACTGAGAGAGAGGCTGGGGGCTCCAAACCTTTCCCACCAGAGCAGCTGGGTATATATATATATATATATATATATATATCAATGGATTTACATACGAGATTCTGTCTGGAAAAAAAATCCACAAAGTTTCAGCACCAAGTTTCAAAACCAAAAGTTTATAGAGTAAACATCTGCATTCAGACAAGGGTTTTATAATTTGACAATATAAAGCATCAACTTTAAAGAGTACCCTTGGACTTCCCTGGTGGTCCAGTGATTAAGAATCTGTCTGCCAATGCAGGGGACACAGGTTTGATCCCTGGTCATGAAAGAACCCACAGGCCTCAGGGCAACTAAGCCTGTGTACTACAGCTACGGAAGCCTGTACACTAGAGCCCCTGTTCCCCAAGAGAAGCCGCTGCAGTGAGAAGCCTGCATACTTAGCCCAACTGGAGAAAGTCTGCATGCAGCAACACAAAACCCAGCACAGCCAAAAACAAATAAATAAAACATTTTAAATAAATAAATAAAAAGTATCCTCAAGAAGTAATTCTGGGATGTTCAAAAAGATACCTGTATAAACACCTGTTACAAGTCACAAATATCCAAGATTGGGAGATTGCTGAAATAAATTAAAACATCTCTATTATACAGTGCTATATCATGCAGCCATTAAACATGATGTTTTAACCTAGAAAAATGTTCATGTTAACATGATCTCATTAAAAAAATTACATGTATATTTATTTTTTAAAAATAGGGAAGGAGAAGTGCTACGAGTGGCTGACTTTGGTGAAATTTTTATTTTTGAAATTTTTGCTTATTTTTCTAATTTTTCAGTACATAATTGCAGGAAGGAACAAGGTACCGCTCACATTTATTGAAGCATCTGGCACATATCTCATGGCTCTATCTCCACACCATATTTCAGTGCTAAAGGGAACTACGGAACACACCTCAGGCACAGTGGGCAGAGAACTGAGCGGCAGACTCCCAGACTTAAAAGGCTGTGCCTAAGATGAGAGGAAAAAGTGCGTGTTCTGCCTGGGAACCCCGAAGGAAGGGCTCGCCCCCAGTGGGGACCTGGGCGGACCGCAGCAACCAGCCCCAGGGGTTACCCTCCAGCCAGCAAAGGTCTGCGCTGGCTGTGGCTCTCTGCACGAGGTGAGCGTCTCACCTTCTTTTCTATCTCCTCCAAGAGCTCTCAAACATCAAAAGGCAGGTCCTTTTCGTAGGGAACGGGATAACGGCTAATGGGTTTGGACTTCTCTTCCTGCTGCTGAGACTCATAAAGGCGCAAGTTCAGGGTCACCAGAGGCAACTTTTTCCAAAACCTGTTGGTCACAAAGCAAAGACAAGACTGAAAGGAAGCAAAGGCAGGATTGGAGTGGGCCACCAAAGGCGTGGCTTGGATAGCTTGTTTGTGTATCTGGACTTAAAGAAAAGACGGTGCCTCCTGGGTCAATTCCCATTAATTACAAGCAATTCTTGAGCAATTATGAAAAGGACTCTGAGCTCAACAAGAAATAATGCTGTAATACATTGATAATGTCGGACATGAGAAGAGGATATTGAGGGCATGATGGTCCAAATAACATATACAATGCTTGCCTTAAAGCCCAGCTCAAATACCACCTAAGAACAATAAAACCTCCTGGGGTTCTTCAATGCCATGAAGATTTCTCTGAAGCCTCTTAAGGCTACCAAATGATGGCCAGGATTTATATATATCATCTGCTGTCAATAGCAATGATAATTTAACTGTCATATAATGAGCACCTAGTATGTGTCAGGTCTTCTGCACACACTCCCCAAAACTCCCAGCAATCCTGTACTTTACAGATATGAAATCTAAGGATCAGATGGATTAGGTCACACAGAGATAAAATTCAGATCTATCTGACTCCAAAGTCTTCAATATTCCCACTTTACAATCCTGTCTCTTAAAAAACAATCTAACTAAAAAATATAGAAAACTAACAACTTTACATTTATTCTAAATGAAAACTGCAAAAAACCAACATAAATCTAAAAGGGCAACCTCATTTTTTTTTACATTAAAAAATTATAATTGATTTACAATGTCGGGATAATTACAGCTGAACAGCAAAGTGATTCAGTTATACATACAGACATGTATACATACATACATACATACATACATGTATACATACATACACACACATACATATATATACATACTCTATTTTTAATGTTCTTTTCCATTATGGTTTATCATAAGATACTGAATATAGTTCTCTGTACTATACAGTAGGGCCTTGTTGTTTATCCTTTCTATATATAAAAGTCTGTATCTACTAACTGCAGCTTCCCACTGCATCCCTCCCTCAATCCCCTTCCCCATGGCAACCACCAGTCTGTTCTCTATGTCCATGATTCTGTTTCCAGATGGGTTCATTTGTGTCATATTTTAGATTCCCCTATAAGTGATGTCATATGGTATTTGGCTTCTCTTTCTGACTTACTTCACTTAGAATGATAATCTCTAGTTGCTGCAAATGGCATTATTTTATTCTTTTTTAACGACCAAGTAGTATTCCACTGTATATATGTACCACATCTTCTCTATCCATTCACCTCTCAGTGGACCTTCCCACATCTTGGCTACTGTGAATAGTGCTACTATAAACATAAGGATGCATGTATTTTTTTGAATTACAGTTTTATCTGGATATATGCCCAGGAGTGGGATTGCTCAATCATATGGTAATTCTATATTTAGTTTTCTAAGGAATCTCCATACTAATTTCCACAGCGGCTGCACCAACTTACATTCCCACCAACAGTGTAGGAGGGTTCCCTTTTCTCCACATCCTCTCTATTTGTAGACTTTTTAATGAGAGCCATTCTGACTGGTGTGAGGTGGTACCTCACTAGAGTTTTAATTTGCATTTCTCTAATAATTAGAGATTTTGAGCATCTTCTCATGTGCCTATTGACCATCTGTATGTCTTCTTTGGAGAAATGACTATTTAGGTCTTTTGTAATGGGTAGCCTGTTCATACATTTTACCATACAAGGTTCTAAAATGGATGCAAGAAAACAAGATTATGCTTTCCTAGAAAACTCAGTCTGGTCAGAATCCAAATGTGAAAGACAGTATAATATAGGACTGTCTGAAGCCCAACTGCCTGGGTCCAAATCCTGACTCTGCTACTTATGTGCTATGTGATCAGAGGCACGCTACTTCTGTCCCTCCATTTCTTCATCTATAAAGTATGAATTATAATAAAACCAACTCATAGAGCTGTTATGAGGATTTACTGAGTTAATACACACAAAGCTCTTAAAACAGAGCCTTGCACTTAGTAAATACTGTGTATTAAATAGTGTTACAGGTTTAAAATAAAGTTGTGATTAAAGTATATTGGGTACATTATGGATCTATCAATTGACATTTGCTTACATATTCAATATGAGACCCACAGAAAAGATTTGGACAGCTCCCTTCACAGAACCCACCTGCCAATACAGGAGACTTAAGGTTTGATCCCTGGGTCAGGAAGGTCCCCTGGAGAAGGAAATGGCAACCCACTCCAGTATTCTTGCCTGGAGAATCCCATAGACAGAGGAGCCTGGCAGGCTATAGTCCAATGGGGTCACACAGAGTCAGACACAACTGAAGCAACTTAGCAACTTCACATCCTCTGGGGACCCCTAATGGGTTCTATCTACTGTATGTAGCAGCCTACCTACCTGCCTTTCACATCTGACACCTCACCTAGGTACCAGCATATACATCCTACTAAAGGGGAAGGCCTAGGCTGTGAAATTCTGTAGCTTTTCTACCTTAGTTTTCCCTACCCATTAGCTAGGGTGGGGCAAGTATCTGAGTATCCGGGCCACAGACTGGCCACTGATCCATCAGGCTGCTAGGCCAAAAAGCTCTGCCCACATAGATTCATACTCTCTGGGATCTGAACTGGGAGATCAGAAGTGAGCTAGGGGCCAATGGGAGCTGGCGCTGAAAAGTCATGAGGTAAAGCCAGGCCACTGGGGTCATGCTGGTCAGGTGTGCACCAAAGGAGCAAGAGAGAAATCAGGAGTAAAAGGCAGAGAGGGAGAAAAGACTCAGGATGGAGGGTCAGGAAGAACACTGGTGGTAGGAGGAGGTGCAGACAGACAAGAAGCAGGACTGAGTGACTGAGACTTGTTTGCGACACGGTTCCCAGGGTCTGGTTGCAGAGGCCCTCTGAGGCACCAAGATGACCTCTCGGTCTCAGTTCACAGGTGACACGATGCTCACTTTTATAACACTTGGGACAGGACCCATGCATCGCCAAGAAGAATCGGAACGACAAGAAGAGAGCAAACAGGTCTTCTCAGTCGATGGACCTTCTCTAGCCCAAAAAACCAATGGCATTGGAAGTAAAGAGCTCCTATCACATAAGCTTATTTTAAAAATAAACAAAAAGCAAACACTCATAAAATGCTTAATACGTGCCTAATATTATCCTGGCTGCTTTATCTATATATTAACTCAAGATATGTTGGTACTGTTCTTGTTCTCATTTTAGAAATGAAAAAACATTTCTCCTTCTCTGTGCCATCTCAAAATAGGCACAGGAAAGATAAGTCACAAGAGTCTACAAGTCACAGAGTAGGATTCAAACCCAGGCAGTCTACCTCCCAAGTCCTCGCTCATAATCTTTGTGTTGTGTTGTATATACAAGCTCATCGACAAGGACAACTACTTTTTTTTTAAATCCCTAAATCCAAACTAACCTATAAATGTCAGGCCTTGTCCTCCTATTCCCCTAAACACTTTCAAAATTTTCATTCTGAACCTTGGATGACCAGAACACTATTTAAAAAGAACAACTTCCATTAGTACTTCACCAGGCTTGTTGGTAGGAGCTCTATAGGTATTGTCCTCTGAACTTTAAATGAAATGTCACCACTGCACATGCCTCCACTGGGGCACACTGGACCTCAGCTACCATGAATGAGTTCAAGATCAGTACTGTCACATCTTTTTCAAGAGAAGCTGGAAATTGAAGTTCAAAATGAGGCTTGCTGTCTGCTTGATGATGCAGCAAGAAATAGGACAGAGGACTACGTACCTAGCACAGCAAGGAAGCACCTCCTGTGATTGTGGGTAAAATCAGAAAACACAGCCACCTCCATCGTCCAGTTTCACAGGGTACTAAGCCCCAAGTGCTGGACTTTTCACCTGGGACAGCCACCTCTGAACTGTGGACACATCTCTGTGGAAGTGGGGGGGCCAGCTATGTCCTTGATTCTGTGATTCTATGTCCTTGACTCTTTGCCCTGCTTGTTTGCCAGTTTGATACTACACTGAAATAAAAACAACCTAAAGGTGATAGTATTCTTTCCAATCTTTGAACTCATACTGGGTGTTCTGGATTAGCTCATCAAAATTTTCAAGTAAAACTGCCTGATTATTAAATGTTGATTCAACTGTTTTTCCCATGAGCACAGATGTGGCAGGACTGGTGGCCACTGGGGCTCTATTTTGGCTACATGCAAGTTCACTATAGTCGTCTGCCAACTTTTATGTTTGGAATCTTCCATAACAAAGCAAATTTAAAATGATAATTATTTTTTAAAAACCTGTGGGACAAATACATTTTAAAAATATTTTTTAAAAGTCTGTAAAATGTTAGCTTACATCTGCTAATGTAAAAAGCCAATTGATGAAACCGTCTCAGGTTATGTACACAGGCACAGTACTTGATTATTAGGTGAGTATAAAATGACAGCTGTTATTGGTGAACTACAGGTTAAAACTTCTTTTAATTTTGTAAAAATATTAGATACTTCATGATTCTAAAATATAGACACTGGGTTCCATTTTGTTGTTGTTGGTCAGTCGCTGTTGTTTCTGACTCTTTGTGACTCCATGGACTACAGCACGCCAGGCTCCCCATCCTCCACTATCTCCTAGGGTTTGCTCAAATTCACATCCATTGAGTTGGCGATGCTAACCATCTCATCCTCTGCCACAGCCTTCTCCTTTTGCTTTCAATCTTTCCCAGCATCAGGGTTCCACTACCAGTGGTTATAGTTCAGTTCAGTTTAGTTCAGTCACTCAGTCGTGTCCGACTCTTTGCGACCCCATGAATCGCAGCACGCCAGGCCTCCCTGTCCATCACAAACTCATGTCCATCGAGTCAGTGATGCCATCCGGCCATCTCATCCTCTGTCGTCCCCTTCTCCTCCTGCCCCCAACCCCTCCCAGCATCAGGGTTCCACTACCAGTGGTTATAGCTCAGTTCAGTTCAGTTCAGTCACTCAGTCGTGTCCGACTCTTTGCGACCCCATGAATCGCAGCACGCCAGGCCTCCCTGTCCATCACAAACTCATGTCCATCGAGTCAGTGATGCCATCCGGCCATCTCATCCTCTGTCGTCCCCTTCTCCTCCTGCCCCCAACCCCTCCCAGCATCAGGGTTCCACTACCAGTGGTTATAGTTCAGTTCAGTTCAGTTCAGTCACTCAGTCGTGTCCGACTCTTTGCGACCCCATGAATCGCAGCACGCCAGGCCTCCCTGTCCATCACAAACTCATGTCCATCGAGTCAGTGATGCCATCCGGCCATCTCATCCTCTGTCGTCCCCTTCTCCTCCTGCCCCCAACCCCTCCCAGCATCAGGGTTCCACTACCAGTGGTTATAGTTCAGTTCAGTTCAGTTCAGTCACTCAGTCGTGTCCGACTCTTTGCGACCCCATGAATCGCAGCACGCCAGGCCTCCCTGTCCATCACAAACTCATGTCCATCGAGTCAGTGATGCCATCCGGCCATCTCATCCTCTGTCGTCCCCTTCTCCTCCTGCCCCCAACCCCTCCCAGCATCAGGGTTCCACTACCAGTGGTTATAGTTCAGTTCAGTTCAGTTCAGTCACTCAGTCGTGTCCGACTCTTTGCGACCCCATGAATCGCAGCACGCCAGGCCTCCCTGTCCATCACAAACTCATGTCCATCGAGTCAGTGATGCCATCCGGCCATCTCATCCTCTGTCGTCCCCTTCTCCTCCTGCCCCCAACCCCTCCCAGCATCAGGGTTCCACTACCAGTGGTTATAGTTCAGTTCAGTTCAGTTCAGTCACTCAGTCGTGTCCGACTCTTTGCGACCCCATGAATCGCAGCACGCCAGGCCTCCCTGTCCATCACAAACTCATGTCCATCGAGTCAGTGATGCCATCCGGCCATCTCATCCTCTGTCGTCCCCTTCTCCTCCTGCCCCCAACCCCTCCCAGCATCAGGGTTCCACTACCAGTGGTTATAGTTCAGTTCAGTTCAGTTCAGTCACTCAGTCGTGTCCGACTCTTTGCGACCCCATGAATCGCAGCACGCCAGGCCTCCCTGTCCATCACAAACTCATGTCCATCGAGTCAGTGATGCCATCCGGCCATCTCATCCTCTGTCGTCCCCTTCTCCTCCTGCCCCCAACCCCTCCCAGCATCAGGGTTCCACTACCAGTGGTTATAGCTCAGTTCAGTTCAGTTCAGTCACTCAGTCGTGTCCGACTCTTTGCGACCCCATGAATCGCAGCACGCCAGGCCTCCCTGTCCATCACCAACTCCCGGAGTTTACTCAAACTCATGTCCATCGAGTCGGTGATGCCATCCAGCCATCTCATCCTCTGTCGTCCCCTTCTCCTCCTGCCCCCAATCCCTCCCAGCATCAGGGTCTTTTCCAATGAGTCAACTCTTCGCATGAGGTGGCCAAAGTATTGGAGTTTCAGCTTCAGCATCAGTCCTTCCAATGAACACCCAGGACTGATCTCCTTTAGGATGGACTGCTTGGATCTCCTTGCAGTCCAAGGGACTCTCAAGAGTCTTCTCCAACACCACAGTTCAAGAGCATCAATTGTTCGGCGCTCACATCCATACATGACCACTGGAAAAATCATAGCCTTGACTAGACGGACCTTTGTTGGCAAAGTAATGTCTCTGCTTTTAAATATGCCATCTAGGTTGGTCATAACTTTCCTTCCAAGGATTAAGCATCTTAATTTCATGGCTGCAGTCACCATCTGCAGTGATTTTGGAGCCCAAAATATAAAGTCTGACAGTTTCCACTGTTTCCCCATCTATTTCCCATGAAGTGATCTACAAACATAGATGAACCTAAATAACATCATGCTAAGCAAAAAAAACCCAGACACAAAGAAACTACATGTTGTATGATTCCATCTATGTAAAGTGTCCAGAAAAGGCTAGAGAGACAGAAAGTAGGTTAGTGGCTGTGTGGGGCTGGGGTAGGAAAGATATTGATCACAAATGGACATGAGGGATCTTTTTAGGGTGACTGAGGTGATCTAAAACTGGATTTTGGTAATGGCTGCAGTACTGACACATTTACTAAAACTAACTTAATTGTATATTTGAAGTGCATGAAATTTATAGCCCGTATAGCAGTTTTAAAATTCTACATGTACAGGGGGTATAAAATGTCATGTTTAGTTTTAGAGTGAGATTTGAAAAAGGTTTTGCCAGAATGGAAGAAGAGCAAACTTCTGTACCCTGCCTTAGTTTTGTTTTGTTTTTGCCATAGTTGTTTCAACACTCTGATAACTAAGTAATGCCTAGAGTCTGACCTAAGTGTACAGGAGAAGAGGTGACTGCCTCTTGAGATAGGGACTAGAGGAACTTTTCTCATCTTCCCATACTGAAACTCTTTAACTCCCCTTCCCCCTACCCCTGGCAACCACCACTGTTTTTTTCCTTTGAAAACCTTGTAGACTTTTAGAACTCGTCACCTACATTATTTAAAGGAAAATTACAAGTGAGACACACATTTTCAAGGGTGGGAACCATGTTTTTCCTCAAATATATTGTTTTTAGCTTAGAGCAAAAGTAAACTAAGTAGTTCCTGCAGGGATATGTGAAATAAAGTATTAATAAAGCTAGAGAATTATCTGACAAGAGTAAGGCAATGGGGCTTTTTCTGGTATAAAACTCCTTCACAGGTATAGAAACTCCTTCATGCGATGACTTCAATATACCAGCTTCTGCATCCAAGGGGTGTGTATAAATTTGGTAGTTTCAACAGAGACAGATGCAGTATCTTTCTTTTGCATGTAGATATCCAGTTGTCCCAACACTACTTGGGACAATAGTACTGGAAGATTTTTCTTCCCCCAGTGAATTGTCTTGGCACCCTTGTCAAAAACCAATTGACCACAATTGTGAGGGTTTACTTCTGTATTCTCAATTGTATTCTGCTTATCTACATCTATGCTTATGCCTCTGGCTATCTTAATTACTGTAAGCTTTGTAGTAAATCTTGAAAGCAGAAGTCTAATTCCTCCAACTTCATTCTTTTTCAGTTTTTTTTTTTTTTTTTTTTTTTTTTTCCTNATGTTAAAAGACCAGGATTCCTGGGCTAAATACCATTTGGTCATGGTATGTAACCCTTTTTATATGTTACTGTATTCAGTTTGCTAGTATTTTGTTGAGGACTTTTGTGTTTATATTCATAAGGAATACTGATCTATGATTTTCTTTTCTTGTGATATCTTTCATTCTGATATTAGGGTAATATTGGCTTCATAGAATGAATTAGGCTATGTTCCCTCCTCTTCTATTTTTGGGGTAGAGTTTGTATTAATGGCTATTAATTCTTTAAATATTTGGCAGAACTCATCAGTGAAGCCATCTGGGCCCAGGCAGCCTCTATCTTACTGCTATTACTGATGAGTTTGTTCACCTCACAACCTCTCATGAGGCTCCAGGCCAGTTATCAATGCATTGCCACTGAGCTCTAAACTCCTCCTTCACTGCCTGCTCTGAGAAAATGGATCTGGGCCTTTAAAACATTTTTCCTTTGCTATCTATCACGACGACACGCTTTGCAGGCAGAATGCCCTGCAGAAGCGCTGCAGAAGGAATGAGACTTGGCTGGTGGCTCCACTGTCTCTCTGGCCTATTCCTGCAGTACCTCAGCTTCTCCAGCATCAGCTCCTGTGTTGACTGGTGGGTGGAATCACCCAGCAGTCAGCAGTTTCCCCTAGCATGCTATTAGGCAGTTTTATAACAGATGCTTCCAAGAGACACGTCCCCAGGAAGAGCTTTCCCTCGCATCCTAGAAATGCCACTAAGCTCTGAAGGGTTGATTTCCAGCAAGTTCCACTGGCACAGATTTCTTTATTTATTGGCTGTGGTGGGTCTTCCTTGCTGCATGTGAGCTTTCTCTAGTTGTGGAGAGTACAGGCTTCTCATTGTGGCTTTTCTTGTGGCGCACGGGCTCTGGGTATGTGGGCTTCGTAGTTGCAGCTCATGGGGCTCTAGAGCACTGGCTCAGCAGTTGGGGTACATGGGCTTAGCTGCTCCACAGTATGTGGGACCTTCCAGGACCAGGGATTACACTAGGTGTCCCTTGCATTGCAAGACGGATTCTTAATCACTGGACCATCAGGGAAGTCTGGCACAGATTTCTAATGACTTCCTGCCATTTAACAAGCCATGACAATGTCCTCTACAACAAGGTCTCAATCAGGCCAGGCCAGTGGAGGGAGATTTTTGCTTAGGTAAGCTAAGTACTACGAGCAATGGCTGTTCCTCACATCTGCTATTCTTAAACCTTTTAAAGCTCTCTTTAGTTTTCACAAGCCATAATCATTTGAGATTAAAA